GGGACTGCGAGGGGCACACGCGGGGCTGCAGCCGCACAGCCCGGCCCGGCAGGTGGGGGGACCCCGCGGCCCCCAGTCTGCACATTCCCACTTCCTGCGTGTGAAAAGTGGCCACGAGTGCAAGATTTGCCCTGTTTCCTCTTTTTTTTTCTGAGCTCCGGGTGATGGTGGCTACTTCATGTGACTGAAGGGTCTTGCAGACTTTTTCCCAGGGCTGGCGTGAGTTTGTTCCCCCCCTGTTAGATGTGTATGGGAATGTGAGCAGAAAGGGACTCCTCAAGTGCTGTAGAGTGAGTTAGCAAGAAGAAGGATCAATACAGCCCGACCTTCCTGCCAGACACCTAATCCGTGGGAGCTTTGCCATAACTAATTAAGGAGGGGGAGAAAAAAAATAGGCTGATAATTCCTGTTTCTGAGTGCTGGTTGCAGGGGGGCTGCTGCTGGTGGCTGCTGCAGCCTCACGACTCCAAATGTGTGTGGTAGGAGACTGGAGACTGTAAATGCAGGTTGGTTTTGTTACAGGATATAGAAGAACAGAGCCCTCTGAAAGGATCTTGCTTCCAACAGGCTTCAACTGCTGTTTAAAATATTACTTGGAAATTTGTAGTGCACACTTTAAAAAATACTTCAGAGTGTAAAATGTTGCCCAGTTATTAAATGATCTTTGTGTCCACCAGTGGATACCATCCCCTCCAGCTCCATACATCCCCCAGACACACAGAGACTGAAAACCTTCCCAGAATCTGCTTATTTTGAAGGCAGATGCCAAGAATGAGACTTTTTCATCTGTTAATGCAAGATAAATACTGCAAATCACATGAAGGTGGGATTGCTTGTAATGACTGTGGTATAAGGGATTAAGGATGTGCTCCTAAAGCCATGGGTGACCTGCACAGTAGCAGAGTCTTAGCCCCTGCTGCACACTCCTGCCTAACAAATGTCCCTCTTTAATGCTTATTCCTTGAGTTTATTCAATAAAGAGGGTGTGGGATGATTCATGTGTCAAGGCTGTGGTGGGATGGAGGTCTGGCTCAGCTGGCACTTTGAACCTCAGGGGGGGTCACAGGGCTCCCCTGTCCCACCTCTGTTGTCTCACCCATGCTGGCCCTCCCCATCACCCTGAGCTGGTCAGAGGTGACTCAGTGTTGGTGAAAACCAGGATGCTTGTCCTGAGTCCCAGCTCCAGCTATAAGCTGGGGAACACCCCTGGTCCCTCACTTTTGGCCTGGCAGCCCTCAGCTACCAGCACAGGAACTCCACAGGCAGCTTTGCCCTGGGGACCATCCAGCTCTGCATACAATGGGGATCTCCTCAGCTCTTCTCTGTTGGCATCAACTTCAGACAAGCCTCTTGGATGTTGATGGATGCCCTACAAACCCAGCTGCTTGCCAAGAGCTGAAGAGGTTCACTTGGTTTTTCAGGTCAGACAGCAGCATTAACTTATGGATGTGCCAAGGGGGGGGTGTTTCAAGACCATGCCTTTCAGTGAGGTGTCTCCTAACATCTCTAAGCTTTTGGTAAGTCATCATCTGTTGATGAACAGAGCCCTTCATTGCTATGCAACAAGAAGAGTGTCTCATGCCAGCACTGATCTGATCTGATTTGCTATCCAAAACCCTTTGATGGAGCTCCAGCCACCCCAGGAGTCTTCCTTGCATGGGCATATCTTGCCAGCCTTATCCTAGCCCCAAACTTTGTGTCTCAAGTCTGCAGATGGCTGGAAGTGAGGCACTACTGCACCTTGGGATGAAACTATTCAGGAAAAAACCTGCTGCCCCCTGGCTGAGGCAGTGAGAGTCATGCAGTTGGTACTTCATCTTTTTTAGTGACATCCTGGAATAAAAAACAGCAAAGCCTTGCAAAGCTGGCTGGGGTTTTCTTAATTGATTATTTCTAGTTGGAAAGTGGCCACTTGGGGAAGTGAAAGTTTTTGGCAGAGCAGTGCCAGCTTTTGCAAGGTTTTGACAGGCAGTCCTTGGATCCCACCTAGTAAATAAATAAAAAGGCTCCAGTTCTGTTGGGACAGAAACAATTCCAGAGAGTGCAAAACTCTCTTTCTGACCCAAAATTCTTCTTTTCCAGCTTTTCTGAGTTAGTAACATCTGCTTGATAGGAATCTTCTCATTAACCATGTATATTGCTGGTGCTGTGTCACACAGTCCTGACCTTCCATCTGCTGCACTGCAAATAAGCAAAGGGAGGAAGGATCCTTGCCATCGTTTTTCACCAGGAATTTGGGGACGAATGGATGAACTGACTTGGGATCAGCGGAGCCCTCAAACCACAGGCAGTGGGTGTGCTGCTCTTGCCCTGTGCAGAGGAGGTGGTGCTGCTGGAGGTGGTGTGCTGGGCTACTTAAAAGTGAGAATCTGGTCTAAATAGCCCCAAAACGCTTCCCCTTTTAGGTCAAAATACCATCAACAGCTGCTGGTTTGTGTTATGAAGTTTTCCTACAGAGCCAGGAATGGGCTAGTATGCTCACAATCATATGTGCAAGTTCTTATGGCCTTTCTGCTAAAAATAGCCCCCAAAGACCCCAGATAAAGCAGCACCCCCAGATATTCCTGCCTGTAAAACTGGGAGTAATAGTTCTCCTCCAAAGAGACAGCCAAACCTTCTGATCCTGATCTAACAGAAAAGGTGCTAATTAAATGCTGACCTCCCCTATTTTACTTTTCAGTATATTTAACCTTAAATTCCTTCAGGCACCTCTGGTTTGCTGAAGCTCATCAAATTAATGCTACCTAATGGGAAGCAGTAAGGAACAACAAAGAAGGACTGTGTCCACCTCTGGCTTGGTTTTGGCTGCTCTGAACAAAACAAGAGTGATTTCCCTGGGCAATCAAGGTGCTGATTGGCCCAGCTTGGAGTCAGGGCACTGGGACACCAGCTGCAATTAGCACTTGGGAGCGAAGGGCCCCATTTGCCAGGGATGCTGCTGGGTTAAGCCCTGTGAATTTTGGCACTGTGCTGCTAGGGGTGAAGAATTCAGCACTTCACAGCCTCTCTAATAAAGCCCAAGTTGCTGAGGGAGCTGGTGGTGCCCATCTGCTGCAGAGCCCCACGAGAGCCTCTGGCAGGAGGGAGCAGCAGCAACCTGGGAGTTTCCACGAGCTGGGACCCTCTCCCAGCCCTGTCCTGGAACGGGGGAACGTGCCTCATCCATGACCCAGTGTCATTCCCCTGCAGTGCTGGAGGCCCTGTAGCACCACCCTGACCTCTCTGGGCTTCAGCCTGTTACCTGCTTGGATAGTTTGATGGCATCTGATGTCTGCTATAACCCCCTGCTCCCCTCGCCCTGCCCGCCTCCCTGCTTGCTCTGACAGCAGCACTGACCCCTGACCAGGACCCCATGGGGATGCAGGAACTGGCTGTGGGGCAGTTGGCAGTTCCCCAGGGCTCAAAAACCGGCAGGTGAGAGAGTCATGTCACACAATTTGGGGGTTCCATGTGCATTTGTGTCAAGGTGTGTTGTGCAAGTGCTGCGTCCCCCCCAGGCACGATGGGGGAGCGTGGTACAGGGTGCAGAGGGATGTGTTCACACAGCAGCAACAGCAAAGGTTCCAGAAATGCGTCCTGCCCCCAAAAAGTGGCCTTTTGTGGGGTGATTCCCCTGCTGTGCTGAGAAGTGGTGATGGAGGAGCAACCCCAGCTCTTATCTGGCAGCAGGAGGCAGATGGGCCGGCACCGCTCCCGCCACGCGCCCCTTGCCCAGCTATTTATGGAGCCAGAGCCCGACGTGTGTGTACGTGCAAGGCTGTGCCCAGGCCCAGGGACACGGGGTGGTGAGGGGATTGCCTGGATGGAGGAGGTGCAAGTTAGCCTTGCAGGAGGTGAGAACAGGAGGGCAGAGTGTGGCCATAACCCTGCACCCTGGCTGTCAGCTCCCATCCCAGCACGGCGGCGCCAGCAGTGCCAGATGGAGGCGAGAGGAGCCTTTATCTCAGTTTCCCAAGTAGCACCACTCAGTGCCTTTATTTTAAGCACCCTCTGCCAAAAATGCTGTTAAACTGGCTTGAAAAGTTCCCCCCGATTTAGGCAGATGATAAATTCAAGAAGCCCACAGCTTTTGAGACCCAGGTTTTGGGTTTTGTGAACTTTTGCATGGCATCTGCAACAGTTGTTTTTTTCCATGCATTTGTTGAGTGGTTCTTTGCCTGGCTGAGATGGGGGGAGCAGGGCTGGGCAGCGCTGCCTGTGCTGCCTGCTGGGCCTTGCTGCTTTGCCCTCAGCTGCTGGATGTCCTCTGCTCTGCCCCCAGCCATGCCCGAGCCTGTCCACGCCTACTCCTGCCCACTCTTCTGGACAGAGTATGAAGGTCATTGCTACCGGTACTTCCCTGTCAACAAAACCTGGGCCGAAGCTGACCTCTACTGTGCTGAGTTCTCCATTGGCATCAGATCAGCCAAGCTGGCCTCCATCCACAGGTGAGGAGCTCAGGAAATCATCATCCCACTCTGGCACAAGCTGGGGAAGAAGGAAAATGAGGACAAAGTCCCATTCCCACAGCAGAACATTTGTGCCAGCTGCAGGCTCATGTCCCAGCCTGAGCATCCCTCTGCAGCAGTGAACAGGGCAGGTCTGATGCACTGGGCACACAAAGGCAATGGCAGGAAAATGGAGGCTGTGTTTCCTAAATTCTCTAAAAAAAAAAAAGGGATAGAAATACAAACTGCTCACACAGGCTTTTTCCCCTGCTCCCTCACCCCCAGCTCTCACTCACACTCCACACCTCTTGCACAGACCTGGGAAGTAATCAGCAGCAATTAGAGCAGGGGGACCCGTTTGGCCGTGCCACAGGGTGAGTCCTTAGGGACATGCCTGACCATTTGCCCTCAGTGCCTCCGTGTTCCTCTTTTGCCAGCTGGGAAGAAAATGTCTTTGTGTACGACCTGGTGAACAGCCGCGTGCCCGGCATCCCCACCGACATCTGGATGGGGCTCAACGACCTGCGGCAGGTGAGAGCTGCCCACAGTCATGTGGGAAATGGCTTGGAAAAAATCGCCCCTCTGTGTTTTCCTTCTGCAAAGCCACTTGGTTTTCTTCTTCACTCCTAAAAGACCCATTAACTGGGTGGTGGCGCAGGGTCTGCTGTCCCATGCATGGGGGAAAGTTTTCATTTCATCCCCTCCAGTCTACTTTCAAAAGAAAATGTTACTATAATTAAAAAATTAGTAACTACTCATTTTTCACATATTTTATTAATGGCTTAATAGAAAGAGTATTGCACTGCTGGCCAGGACAAGCAAACACACTAAAAATGTCTCCAGTGTCACAAGTCACCAGGTTTCATTGCTTTCCTGTGATACTCGGCCATTTTTCAAAGCTGACACGTTGGGAATGTACAGTTTAATATGTAACAAAGAAAAACTGAGACCATCAGGAGAACAGTCCCATGCCAGTAAATTTCTTGTAGATATTGGGAAAGGAATGGAAAAGAAAAAGGAGAACAGAATTGGGTGGGCGTGTTAAAAAATATATGGGTTTAATTTCTGGGCTTCCCCCGGTGAATTATGGTTCTTTCCAGGGTAAGTTTTCAGTTGTACAACCCAAAGGAGCTGTTTGGACTCTGCTGAGGGGTGACAGTCTCTCCCAGTGTCCCTGGGTGGTGTGGCACTGGGGATGGGGGCTGCAGGGGAGCAGGAGACAATCTTCCAGCTCTGTGATTGCCTCCTTTCTCCACTCACCCTGTGCCAGGAGGGTCACTTCGAGTGGACAGATGGCTCCTCCTACGACTACCACTACTGGGATGGCAGTCAGCCCGACGACGGGATCCACTCCATCCCCGAGGAGGAGGACTGTGTCCAGATCTGGTACCGACACAGCAGCGGTGAGTGCCGTGCTGGGTGTCTGGGACACCTTAGGTCTTCTCTGCATGTCAATTCAATTAACTCTGGCTGGTCCTTTTCTGAAGAGGTTGCTGGCAGGCTGAAGATTTGCATTTTGATTATTTTGCATTAATATTTTCATTTTTCTTTGCAGAGAAGGGATGTGTTTTCTCTTTCATCGTGTACATGAGCACACACCACACTCAGTTTCCCTCTGCTCACAGCCCGTCTCCCTCTCCCATAGCAGTGGCAGGATGGGAGCATCACCCACTTTGAAAAATATCTGAATTTAGCCAAAGGTCAATATTTCTGCTTTCCCCTCCCACATGCAGCCTGTGCAAACACCCCTTGGTTTGCCAGCTTTTCTCTCCCTCACTAAGGCATCTCACTGAAGCAAGGCAAGGCCCTCTGCTTGTTCAAAAATCCCACTTCACACCCTCATTTCCAGTAAGACCAGTTAGGTGTATCCAGTCCTCGACCTCGTAAACACAATTAAATGTCCCATCCATGTGCAACCTGGTGATACTTTGCATGGTATGGGGCTATGATTGCAGCTACCTCCTTGCTCCCATGTTCAAGCTGGGGCCAGGCATTCTCCCCAGCATCCTCAGGACAGGGATGTGGATGCTGGGAGGGGGCACGATTGGGTGCAGCCTAAATGGGAGAACTTCCAGGGAAAGCCTCTCACAGTGGCAGAAGGTCCCAGAGGGTGACTCCTGGTTACCTCCTGTGCCTTGTTTTTTGGCTAACACCTTGGTTTTCCCGGGGGTAGCGCTGCGCTCCTGGAACGACAACGCCTGTGGCAGAGCCTTCCCCTTCGTCTGCAAGATCCCCTCACTGGCCCTGGACTGAGGCTGCCGGCCCTGCCTGTGTCCCCCTCGTCGTGGGTCACCCCTCCAGCCATGCCAGGGAAGAGCTGCTGGGACGCGGCACGGGCAGCCAGAGCTGAGGAGCTGCTCAGCATCCCCAGCCAGACCCCGGCTGAGAAAATCCCTCCTGGGAGTGCCCTGGGGATGAGCCCAGCACTCACCCTCCCCATGGGCAACCGGCCATGGGAGCTGTGTCAAACACTGAAGGAGACCCAAGCCTGATATTTGGGTTTGGGTTTCAGATCAACTATTGCAGCCTATTAGAGGACCCCTGTGATTTTACCAATACACCCAACTGTTAGCACCAAAAAACAGCCACGTGTTATTTTGTCCATTGGTCCATGAAGAATGAAGAACTGTTATTTTCTGTTAAGTTATGCAAAATGCCCCTTGTGCACGTTACTTTTCTCTCTGCTACAATAAAAGGCAAAAAGCAGATGGAGGCTCCCCTGTCTTTCTAACACTGGAGTGGCAGCACCTCCCTAGGGAAGTGGGGTCTTGTGCAAAGGGAGCTGGTTTGGCCTCAGGCTGCTCTGTGTTACAAAGGTGTTCTGGGGGAAGTGGATGCCTGGGAATGTTTATTTTATTGACCCTAGCTGTTCCTTGGAGTCCCTGGGACAGCCTGTGTGCACACCCTGCCCTTCACCTGTTCCCCATCAGGGGGTTTGGCCCTGGCAGTTTTGGGTTGGTCAAATCACAAGGAAGGTGGGTGTCAGGCTGATGGGTATCAGGTGGGGGGGTAGCCCACCCTCCCAAACCTTTTCTGGGTGGGGAGGGCACACAGCTCTTGCTGCAGCCCTGTTCTTAGTGGGATGATGCTCTTTCCTGCAGCTGTTCCTGATGCCTCCTCTTTGGTGCTGGCACCACAGATGTTCTTTTATGTACAAGGTAAATAATTCTGAGAGGGGAGTGTGTGGTTGTGGCAGACACAGTGTGCCTGTTTGGGATGCTTGGTGGGAGATGAGACTGTCTTCCTTGCATGTGGGTAAATTTGCAGGGCTTGGGTGCAAGGGGGGCTCGTGGTGCCCAGGATCAAGGGAAGGGCAGTGCTATCCAGACAAAACCATGTTTATCCTTCAGGACCCAGTCAAATGCAATTAATCCAGTGCTGCCTGGAGAGCTGCTGCAGTGGGATCTTCTATTCCACACAGCCCTGTGGCACCCAGGTGGCTTTACAAGAAGCCTCATGTAGAGGGGGCTGCCTCCCCTCCAGCCCCTTGCCCTCCCCTGGGAGTGATGGGTCCTGTTTGTCCCTGCTCTGGCAGAGCCCCAGGGTCTCACTGCACCCAAATGGCTGGGACACCCCTGGGCTGCCCCATCTTGGCCACTGCCTGCAAAGATGAGGAAAAGCATCGTCATACAATTGTTTGGCCTCCATCAGAGGGACATCAGCTTTGAAAACTAAGACTTTCCAGAGTCATTACATGGCTAATATTACATGGCTAAATAACTAAGGCTCCACTGGGAGTGTTTAACAACTTCCTTGGGTGTCATCACAGCTTTCACCTTAAATGCATTTCACTTGGAGAGAAACTGCAAAACTTGGTGGGGGTAGTGGTGGTGTTGTAAGTGGAGCATGTGTGTTGAAGCAGATTTCTAAAATAAAGAAACACTGCCATTTCTTATGATGTATTTTGTATTTATAAATATATATATATAAATTAGTAACACATATAAATAAAAATATAGTATTATAAATGGATTTTATATATACATACATACACACACACACTATTCATATATTTATATGGAAAGTAGGCAAGTTGCATGATTTGCAGTCCTGGGCAGGAAACACCACTGAACGTGGTTTCTCAAGACTTTTGCATCATCTGAAAACAGTGAATTACATATAGATAAAAACAGGATGTGAAGGAATCAGCTGTAAAAAACTAAAATGTTCTTGGAGCTACCAAGCTAACCAAGTGTTGATGTGGGAGCAAAAGGGCTTGAGGAACCCTTCTGGTTGCTGCCCTAGAACAGCCCCTGGGTGGGTCCTGTGCCCACTGCTGGCCCCAGGCAGCAGGGTCAGGCATCCCTGTGGCACAGGACATGTCTGAGTCACCAAGGCCTGGTGCTGCAGTGTGGTCCTGTCTGGGTGGTGGAGCTTAGCTTCTGTGCAGAGCTGGGAGCCAGCACAGCCCTCAGGACCCTCCTTGGCCCAGCAGGGAGGGTTGGGGTGCCAGAGGGGTGGCTGCCCCACAGGGTGATGCTGCTGCTCTGTGCCAGGCTCTGCTCCAGGCCCAGGGCTGCCTTTCCTCTGGTTCTTTTCCCCTTTCTTCCCATGCCCCCTGTTCAGAGGAGGTGGGAGTTTGTCACAACCAGGGCTCAGTGCACCTTGAGCCAACCCCCCTTATTTTTTCTCTGCAAGTGGCATGAGATGTTTCAGGAGAAAGGTTAAAACCTTCCCTTGGGAAATCGTTTGAAGACTTGGTTCCTACTGTGGCTAAAAATATTGCTAATGGGGAAACCTCTGAAAGCTGTCAGCTCCAATTAACATCTTCATTTCCAGGTAAAAAGAACTGAATATGCACAGCCTGAAAGTCAGGACCAAAGTTAAGAGGGGCTTTGTTTTGCAACCCCCCAGCTTTCTCCTCAGACTCCAGGATCCTTATTGAAAGAACAACCCTCTCTCCTTGCTAGTGTCTCCTCTTTCACAGTAATCAAATAAAACTCAGAAATCAACAGTTTTAATCTCCTACTGAACTTCTAGTGGATCTGGTGAGGTCAGTGGTCAGTGAAAGGCATGGCATGGTTGGTCCTGGGCTTCAAGTAGCCAGGTGCAGATGCAGCTGTTCAGGCTGAACTTTCTAGTTTTATTTTTCTGTGCTCCTTGTCCCATGGCCCCTAATTCTGTTACCTTGAATTTCTCCATCCTGACTTGCCATACGGTGCAGGCAGTGGGAAACCTGGCAGTGGCAGGACTCTCCTGCACATCACTTGCAAGTGACTGATGCTGGGGGGCCCTTTTATGTCTCTGACGTTTGTTGTATTTTTTTTTTTAGGAGCTGAACATTTTCCTTTGTAAGCCATAAAAGAGGGGTAAGTGTGAACAATGTGTGAGGTAGCCTGGGAATGAACAAAAATAATTGTCTCCTGGTGACAGATGTTTTCATCCTTCTATAACCCATTTCACAGTCTGTAGAGACAACTTTGCCCCCAGCCCTGGGTGGAGAGATGGGCCTTTCTGGACCATTTGCCTTTTGATTATTTTTGGTTTTTTCTCCTATTAGTATTTTTTATTTTCTGAAATTTGCTGCTGGGTGTGTAGGGCAGGGAGCTGTGCTGTTGCAGCTCACTGGTGTGCCAGGCAGCAGCAGCCTGCCCAGCACAGGCAGCCCAGAGAGGAGTTTTATCCCTTGG